GTTGGCGCCCCCCCCCGCCGTGCCTCGTCCTCGCCCCTCGCCTTCCCTTTGCTCCCACGCTCTGCAGCACCGGGATGGCCAATTCTCCTGGAAATGGGCCGTTTTCTGGGGGTTTTTTTGCAGTTTGGTTCTGAGTCGCAGTCTGGGCTTCCCGTGTTACGTGTTCGCCACCAGCACTGGGGAGCGGGCGCCCGCGCGGGGCCGGTGATGGGCGCCCAGCAGCCCGGGCACCTTTGGCCTCTTTCCCACGTGCAAATTTTGGTTGCTTAAAAGCTCAAATAAATAACGGCAAGCACGCAGGTTGGCAGCCAGCAATCGCCCCGCTTTCACACCTGCTCGAGGGAGAAAAGCGCCCGCGGGTGCCGTGTAATGAAGGGATTCCAGCGTGTGCCTCAGCGAGCGACGGCAGCGACGAGGACACGGCGTTTCTCACTGCGGATACGGCCGTGTCTCGGGCTCAATGTCTATGCGGTTTGACTTTGGTGCTGCATAAAATGCTGTTTATAATAGCAGCTGTTATCCAAATGCGTGAGTCTCCAAGTCCTTGTATAACCTCTTAGAACACCCAGTGTATTCCGAGGGAACCTGGCTGGCAGAAGAACGGCCAACCAGCTCATGGTGCTTTGAGTTGTCCTTCCAGGTTGAGCTCAGGCTTATCTCATCCTTACCCTGTAATAAATTATAAACAACTAATGAAATCACACCAAACCAGAGTGTTCTTTAGGGATTCTATTTGCAATAGAACAGAGCTAATTAGTAAGAAATAAGAGGCTGAATTATGATCTCAGGTGCATCCTTGCAAATCCGGGGAGAATCTGTGGGGCATCAATGAGTTGTTCTGGTTTCGCCCCAGCATGGGAGGGTTCAGCACTGGGTGCTCTCTTTTTCTCCTCTGGGCAATATTTGCAGCCCAAGATGGGAAAAAAAATGTTCCTTTCTGCTTTAGACAGGGAATTTGGCAGCTCAGACATGTCTGTTCTGTGAGATCAGTATCTGCCAATTAATATTCATAAGCATAGTTTTTGTCTGCTGTTGTGGCTGAGGGTTTGGATGGGAGCACGGTGAGTATTCAGGAGAGCGGCCGTGCACTTGTTGCCTTCCTGCTCCCCAGTTCTTCCCTTGTAGCTCACTGGCTACGTGTTGTCCCCCACATGCAGCAGTGGGGTTTGATTTGGGCCATTTGAGGTGGGAGAAAATGTAGAGTGACAAAAGGCACAATGTTTCTGTGCCATTCTTTTCTTTTAATATAGAAATTAGTAAGTGACCTCAACACCATGCAAACTTTAAAATACCCGTTGCTCCCATTTGTTTCTATCACATCAGTTTGCTTTCAGCAGTTGCTTTCTCCATTCTGCTGTGAGAATGTCTTGGAGAAATGCTGAACCCCTCCTTAGCAATTTTTCCCATATATAAATTTACATTTTTTCATATATGGCACAGATACAATTAGCAGTCATGTGCTGCCTGTGTGAGCTTAGAGATCCAGCCCTCCCCTTGGCAATGCGCTTAGGCAGTCCCGGCAGCGTCACCGTCACCCTCTGTCCTTGGGTTTAACCTCCGGGTGGGTTTCCAGGTCTTGGCTTCCTAGACGAGGAATTTCCCATCATGCTCTCTCAGGGCCGTTACTTAAAACAGCAGTGCAAAAAATCTTCTCAAAAATCCTCCGAGAAAGATCCCTGGAACAGTGTTGGCACAGCGAATAAACAATTACAACTAAACATAGCAGGGGAGGAAAAATCTATGGCATTAATTGATGACTTGATCAGCAAAGCAAAGTACCAGGAGCTCTCTGACATTTAGCAAGGTCAAAAGCAATGTGTGTCTAGTGACCTGGAGAGCTAATGAATATGCAAACATGGATAAATGTAAATGCGAATGACATCATCGGGTTTTTTTCTTACTTAGTTATTAAAGTTCAGTCACTAAAGCGTGGTCACCGGGAGAAGCTCCTCGAATGCTCCTTTGCCCTGTTAGAAATTCCAAAAGACCGTGCAGCTGGGAGCAGCTGGAACCTGGAGCTGCACACTGATGCTATCGGAAAATAACTGTGTGACTGAATAAATGAATTAATTATAGTGGCTGCTTTTTGACAATTGATCTACAGAAGATATTCTGATGTGACATAGCTGCTTACGGCAGCGTCTGGGGAACAAAGCGGGAAAAAACACTAGAAAAAAGTTGTGGGTTTTTTGTTTTTAAGAAACGGGAGTAAGATTTGGAAGTAGATGCAGATGTGCGTGCAGGGACCCCATGGCTCATGCAGAGCGGTGGGACCCGCACGGGTGCTGCGCGCCGGCCTCTGCGTCGGAGCCTCCGTCCCGCAGGCCGGGGACGCGGCTCCTGCTGCGCATCCCGCTACTCCTACCTGTGCATCCCACTACTGCTCCCTGTGCATCCCGCTGCTCCCTGCGCATCCCGCTGCTCCTGCTCATCCCGCTGCTCCTGCTCATCCCACTGCTCCCTGCGCATCCTGCTCTCCCTGCACATCCCGCTGCTCCTGCTCATCCCACTGCCCCCTGCGCATCCTGCTCTCCCTGCGTATCCCACTGCTCCCTGCACATCCTGCTCTCCCTTCCTCCCTCAATGCCGAGCAGCAGCGAGGAGAGCGCCCAAGGAAGAGCCTTCCCGCCTTCATCCC